ACGTTCATTTTTCAGTGCGCCTGGGTAGTATAACCCCCCCCCCTTAAGTTAAATTATTTAATTAATAAAATATAATTAATATTAAATTGATTAAGTTATTGATTATTTAAATTTGATTCACGCAGATTTATACAGAATATTGAATGCTTAAACACATACATATTGATCCCTTCAGACTTGACTTTAATGAAACTATGTTAAAAAAAATTTTTTTAAAGCAATTTATGCTAAAAAATTAAATTAATTTAATTTTTACTATTTTTCCAACACATACATTATTATGTATCTCTGGTCTGAGATAATCTTGATGAAATTAAATAATTTTAGTGGATAATATCTTCAAATTTGATATTCATTACAATGTCTGACGCAGAGTCTGAAGGGATTAGATATTTAATAATTGAGTTTGATATCTTAAATAATATTCAATACATTTAATTTAATATTAATGCAAGTGCAACTATATCTTTTGCCAAGAACGACATCAGTTTCTCACTCGATTACAGACTCGTGCTCGCAATATTGACATTGCAATTACGTTCGACGATTAAAGCACTCGTACTACTTACATCCTCATACCTATTTAATTATGCCTGGAAACGCACTTCCGTGCACGTATGGTAAAAAGGAAAACTCCTAAGAATTCTGCGCGTCGTCGTTTACAGATATTGTCTACATAAGCGATGGATAAACATTCATAACGTACAACTACAACAGCTAATTCTCAGTTGTCATACTCTGGATTAGCAAATTTTAAGTTAAGAATGTGTTGTCTTTTTCAATATTATTATATGTAAGATTCACGAGTTATTTAAAAAAAATATATTTATTTGTAATCTTAAAGAATTCGAGGAACTGTAGTCCATTTTTATACAGAACTAGAAAAGATATTGTATTTCATCTTTCTGGAAAGTTCGTAAAGTAAGATTATCATTAGAAAATGCTGAGTTTTTCTAAATTTCCTATCTTAAAAATGTGTAAGGAACATTCTTGAAGTAAGTACTCGAATGATGATTATATGAGGAATTTTCTATCTTAAGATACATATGATCTTTCTAAAGAGATACATTCTCGAAGTGGATAATGGTCACATATTTTTGCCTATGTGATATTAACTTTTATCGATAGAAATAGTCGAATTTTGTAACCAAAAATCATCGTTTTGACTTTCATGACGTGAAAATAAAATTATTTTGACTTTCTCTTGACTTGGTGTGATCCTTAGATAGACTTTTAGAAGTTCATAAAAGAAGAATTGTTCGAGTAGCGAACATTTTTCTTGTTTTCCCATAACAATATTATTTTCCTGTTCTCGAATTGTGTCTGATCTAGGCTGGTTTTTTTTTTGTTGTATCCCAGACAACAAATAGTGTCTAAAATCAGATCATAAAACGTTTTTTGCATCTAAAAGACGACTTAAAGACGTCTTACTTACGTCATAATTTTAGACTTTATGTTGTTTGGGACTTTACCACCGCGTACGTGTGCATTTTGCTAATTCGCGCATTCGTGGCTAGTAAATCTTGGTTGGTCAGCGTCATCGGGCGTATTGTTACGTGTTCACCGGCTCTAACTCGTCGATGAATAATGAATGGCGAGTAACATGGCCGGCATTAGGAACGCGACGGCATTAAGCGCTTAGAAAATGAAAGTTAGGAAAGTCCTCGCGATTAACGCGGAAGCGAAAGAGGAAAACTCGCCCGTTTCGATCTCGTTGACCGAATAGAGGACGCCGGAGAATGCTGAAAGAAACCGGAGTTACTATTTGCATTTGCTGCCGCATATCTTCATCTCTCACTGTTGCGCAAAACTTATGAATTACATCAGCGATAATTCACGCATTAATTCGTTAAAAAACACTCCATGTTAGTATTTTTTGTACACTAGACATATTTATTTGCACATCGGATATAATAGTGCGTTACTGATTAATTAGTTAATTTCAGTAATCTTATTTATTATTTTCTGTTAAGAAATTATCAATGATTTATTAACCGAACTGCATTGTCTAATGTCGATTTAAATAGTCTATAATTCATATAAGATTTTAAAATAGAATTTATAATTCTTATATAGTGTATTTTGATATGTAATATATCAAAATACACTATATAAAAGTTATAAATTCTATGTAATATATAATACGTATTTTTAAAATGTTTTTCGTATTACACAAAGCATAAAATATTGTAAAATTCTAAATAGTCATACAGATTACCTAAAATTAATGCATATTTTATAATATAATTACTAATGCAATGCGCAGACCGATTCCAATCATGTACCACTGCGTGATTGAATTGAATCACGTATCGTGCGGCTATCTAACGATCGGAAGACCAAATAATTGCCGGTAAACCTTCGATTAACTGCGCCGCTAATGAATGCTCCAGGATTTTTCGTGCGTCTTCCTTATCGCCTTCGTTCGACCTCCTAAGAGAGAAAAGCAGCCGCTGTTTGGCTATCGCCCAGGTTCAGGTAGCGAAAGTATATCGCTCCTTATAATCGCTGCTCTTCTTCGTTCGGGCGATGATGCCCTATAAATATATATGAGGGTCACAATTCCAGAGTGAACTCAGTTTTTCGTTGGCATCCCGACCGGCAACTGAAATTCTCGAGCGACCAATCATGAGGCTCTTCCTGGTACATACGTGAATTCTCGTTTTTGTTTTACTACATGGTGCACGGAAAAAACGATTTTGCTAAAGTATCTAAAAATTTAGTTACAGATTTGAAAGTAATTTTGTTGGATAATCTAACTAAATTTTTAGATACTTCAGCAAAACCATTCTTTCCGTGCACCGTCGCGATCGATAATCCGCATGATTTATATTCGGATATACCGCAATAAAGAATGGAGAAGGTTGATCTAGTGATTTGTTGATCGTTTGTGTTATTGCAATAGATAATTGTGCGTTATAATAATACCTCGATATAAAATGTGTGTCATTATAATAATACCTCGATATAAAATGATTTAAATTAATCCAATACCGCAATAAAAAAGTCAAATTTAGCAATTGAACTGAAATTACGAATTATACAAGTCAAATCTTTTTAAAACTTGTAATCAGATATATATATATATATAATCAGATTTTTTATTTTTCAAAATGTTATTAAGTTTGAAAAATTTTCATGCGGCTTCAGACATCTGACATTAAGATGCCATTAGGTTTCACATAATAAATTTATTTAAAATAAATTATTCGAGAATTCTATACAAAAAAACGTAAATTACTCGACATGACATCTCTTCGCAACGTTTATACAGGTAACAATGCTGGTGTTGGCTAGCAGTGCAGCCGTTCCCGTTGACACGGATTTAGGAAAATTGCAGAGCGCTTCAGAGGAAAAGAAACATGGGAAAAGAGATGTAGATTGTTCGAACGGATACAGTGTACACGTATATTGTCCACCGGATTATGCTCCACCCGAACCGTCACCCGTCTTACAATTAGTTCAACAGCCAGTCTGTGAGTTAACATAAAGTTTTATTGATCTTGAATGTATTTCGAAAAAGCATGTTGATATAATTAATTAAATTCCATAATAATATTTAAATTAGTTTAATTAGAAAGAACCTTTCATAAATTGTCTCCTTTCTTTTAAGTTTTACGTGGTGAAAGGAAGATGTGATTTTATTTACTTGCTTTTGATTTATTTATTATGTAAAATTAAACCTAATGCCGCAATTAATGTTTACATATTAATGGATAGTAGGGATACATCTGTGAGTAACATCTTTATGCTCTTCTTCAGTGCATGTGCCTGTGCCCGTTCCGCAGCCGGTGCCACATCCGGTCCCAGTACCCATAGCAGTACCGATCACGAAACACGTACCAGTTCCCCTACCGATTCATATCGAACGCACCGTGCAGGTGCCAGTGCCTAAACCGTATTCCGTCACCGTGGAGAAGATCGTCCATGTGGACCGGCCAGTTCCGGTGACAGTCGAGAAACAGGTGCACGTCCCAGTCGATCGACCGGTACCGGTACCGGTACCGCAACCGTATCCCGTCCACATCGAGAAGGTCGTACACGTAGACCGACCGTATCCGGTGCCGGTAGCAGTGCCAAAGCCGTACCCAGTACCGGTCCTACATCACAAGCACTGGTCCATACACAAGCACAAGTTATTCAATTGTTGTTAACGCACTCGTCAAGCTCCGTTTTAATGCAGTAGCGATACGATATTTTCGCTAATATCGTAAATTAATGTGTCAGTATAATTTTCTAGTAATATAAGATTATACTGCAACTATCTTGTTTTCATTAGATTTATTATTAATAATTAATTATTCATTAATTATTATTCATAAATTAATCTTGCCTGACTGAAATGTATCTTAAAAATTGATTACGTCAGTGAACATTTGAATGTGTCTGTTATTGTTTAATAAAGAACTTTCGTTAAGAAATTTACTTCTTAGATATTTGTTATATCTTTGCTAGAATTCTTCCATCTTTTCGTTGCTCATCGCTACAAATTTTACGTAAAAATAAAAAAATAAAATAAATATTTTCTTCTAAAAAATCTATGTTTCTGAAGTCAAATAAAAATTTTTTCAAAATTTATGTTTCTGAGCAACCTTGAGAACAATGCTATTACCACGTGTGAATAACGCGAACTTGTTCTATTAGGAAGTTTCTTTATCATGATTAATGCAGTAATAATATTGCGCGCTGAACATAGTTACAAGGTGAAAATAATATATTTATTCATGTATATACCTGACGAAAAAATTTATAAACACTTCATGTCCTTGCTTTTTAACTACATTAGTATTATTAATGATTTATTAAATTAAATTATACATTTTATGTAACATCTACTTTGTAAATAATAATACTTAATATTTAGATATGCTTTAAAATATCAACAATGTAACGATGACTTGTGAGACATTGGGCATGTTCAAGCAAACAAAGTAGCTAGCCTTTTCGCCGAGTGAATGATTGGTTCTTAGTAAGAACTTTTTACTTATAAATCCAATCAATCACATTGAATCGCTTGGCCAACAGGCTAGCTGCTTCATTTGGTTTGAACACGATCATTGTTTTGCTTTTTAATCGATATCATAAATAAAATTAATATTTCTTAGATAAAAAAATTTTATTTCGAACAATAATTATGTAAATGAGTACATAAATTGCACATTTTATTTTTTTACAATTTTTATCAAAATTAAAAGAGTCAGTGATATACCAACAATCACAAACGTGATTATCTGAATAATAATAATAAGCTTTATTGACGTGCGAGATATTAAATTATAAACAATGAAATAATGTAAATTAGAGTTGCACCTCAAAAGGTAATATCGTTCGCAAACCTAGACCTTGTTATAATTAATTAGGTAATAAATTATAGTAACTTTGAAGTGAATAAAATAGTGGAAGGTGTAGGAAAATGCTTCCCTAACGATGTGAGAAGCATAAATAATGAAAAATTTGACGTATTAGCTGGTTACTTTGTTATCATGTTGGACGGAGATTTTAACAGCCAATGAAATGCTATCGCGTGTCTTCTTACATTAGTCCGTGCTTGCGCATCGAGCGATGAGTATGGAAAATGTCGCGCCTACCTCCTACGATCGGAAAAGTATACCGATGGAGGCGACAGGGAAAGGTCGCGATTTCCATGTAGCGGCTCTCTCATGCATTGTTGACGAGCGAATTACTAGGCGAGGCGTCGCGCACTACTACCGCTCGTTGTTAGGAAGCATATATAATCCTACTTTCATCTATAGATCCGAGAACTACATTTTTCCGAAGAATTCACAAATTTCCGACTATCTTTGATCGATTGACAGAGACTTTTTGATGTAGATTAATTAAAGATAGAAAGATTAGTTGAAACATACTAATTTATACTTTCTTCAATGACTATAATATAATTTATGCCTTCAATAATCATAATGATTTTTAATTGACGTTAAATATGAAAAAAGATGAACACGAAAATTTAATTACGTTTTTTTTATAATTTATGCTCAGAAAAAATTATTTAATGCTGCTATTACATATTAATTAGAGCTTGATTAATATATAAAATAATTTGGAGATTGTTTAACTCGATTTCTAAAATTTTATATATGTTATATCTAATTACTTTTATTTTGTAATTTTGAACATCGCAGTATTTTTATTTGCATTTACATTTTAACACAAACTTAAGCCGTATAAAATTATCATTTGTTCTCATGCAGAAAAATTAACAGTTGCTTTTGGAAATAAATTGTTTAGCGAACAGATTTGAAATAGATTACAAGAGGGATAAACGGGCAGCGTTAGTTAAGAAGACTAACTCTATACACGATCTCGATGTATCAGCGATCGTGTGAACAAACGCGATGGTTTCTTGGTTATCGACCAGCATTCACGAATCCGTAAATAAAACGAGAAAACACGTGGACGTTCTCGCCCTATGTCATCCGAGAAAAGGTTCGTGTCATCCGTCAAATCATTATGCCGAAAGAAACCCGTAACCCCGTTATAGCAAACCGCTATCTCTCTGCCATCACAGCTCTTAGTATCCGTTTAGACAGGTAGATACGCGGATTTTCTCTCTTTTGGTACGAAGTGCGAGTGTTTCGTCTCTGTGAAGTGGAATTTTAATCGCAATCGTGTACGTTAGTGCTCAGTTTCTTACATAAAAAATTTGGCGATCGTTGGTAGTTAAAAAAATATTCATTGGTCTGTGTTTCATGGTGTAATAAGATAGTGTAGATTATTTATTCACGATTTATTTATTTAACGTCGTATTCGGAGACCAAAGAATCAACTTCTCATGGATTCAATATGACACAAATATACGCTATCTAGTTCGTGATTCAATTATACATGTTGCCTTAATGTTCAAACAATTTAAAGTTATAAACAGAGGTGCATATAGGATTGAAAAACGGAATAGAATGTGAAAATAAAATCTTATAGTTGTCTAATAATTACATTGTTCTTTGTAATTAATTATCAATATACAAAAATAAAAATGTTTATATATTAATAATTAATTAAACCTCGCAAGCGACGAATTTTATTTTTTTCTTTAATTCTTTTAAATGATGACTCTGATAATAATTCAGCATGCTAACAAATTTAACCATTGTATAAGAAAATATTAATTTATAAATTTAAATCAGAATTGTCTTTTTTCTTATTCTATGCGTGTTGTTGAAATATGTTAGTCTGAATGACGAGAAGAGGGATATTGTGTTACACAAAGTGGCTATTAATCACACGTTACATTAAAATGCTTTGTAATGTTGTGTCATGCGATCGTAAGTGCGTTGCTTTCAGTACTAATCATACTAATCATATGTACTGTTCGAAATGCACATTCTAAACTTTGATTGCAATTTCTTTAAAAGTGACTTTAAAAGTGAGATCTTTAAATTCTTGTCTTACGCGCAAGCTTCGGCTTTCCTTTATATATAGCAATTTATTTTAATGAGACCTCGGTTATGGTAACTACGTCTACGATAGACGGCAGTAATAATGTATAAAAGTTGTTCGTAGTAGTGTATAGGGTATCTATAGCAATGTCATATTTAATTAATTCTTCGGCGCCTTTTGCGCTCGATAGGCGTTACACTTGACACCAAAGGCGCGTATCTATAACACCGACTTAAAGTTGAGACTTAAACATCGTCATCACGATCGAAGAAAATGAACTCTGGGTATCAATACGAAATAACCTACAAAATATACTTTAAGAATAAAATTATTTTTTTTATCGGTGTTATTGTATTAAAATTTTAAAATTCTTTTTATGCTGATTTCTTGAATACATTTTTAATTTACTTTCTACTTTAGTCAAATGATAAATTAAAATAAATTATAATATTTATAAATTATATTTTTTCTTTATTAATTAACGTAATTTAAAATATATAATTGCAATTTTGATTCGCATTACGTTTTCTTATGACTAATATATGAATTTTATTTGACTTGATAGCATTTATTAATTTATTTATAGTTCCGGTTATGGTAAATATCCGGCTATGTTAAAAATTTTGTATGTCTACAATAGGAAACCATAGGACGTATATTTTCTATTGAACTATGGCTGTGTTCCAAAATTGACTGCCAGTACTGAAAATCTATAGTGCACGTAACGTAAACTGTAGCATTTTCAGTGCTGGCAGTAAATTTGGAATACAGCCAATGTATCGTAAACTATACATCAAATGCGCACCTAATCGATAGATAGAACAATCATGTATTTTATTTTATACAATTTGATTGATGACATTCTAGAAATAAGTAAAAATACGTGTTATAAAAATAATTTTTTGTGTCAAATGGACATCAGTTATGAAAAGTATTGTTTTAGAGCTTTCTTTCTTCACTATTTTTATATAATTAATTATTAATAAAATTTGATATTTTTTAAATGTATTTAGCAGAAGTAAAATATTTTAATTTTAAATGATACACATTACAAATTAATTACGTATGCGTGCATAGTTTTTTAAATTTTATTAAAGCTTTAAACTTTATTTAAGCTTTATTTGTTACATTTTAGATTACTAGAAAATTCTTTTGATTAGTCATCAATTCGGATAGTCTTGACTTGATACTTTCGACTCTTTGAATCTTTGAAACTTAAATTATCATTTTGAATATAGTATATAAATAGAAAGATTATTAGAAATTTGATATGATACATTATTTTTCATTTTATATATGTTAGTTGTAAAATATATGTTACTGGTAACTAAATGTTGTTTAATAGTTTAGATTTTCTAAAGTTTAGCACAGTTTCATAACATATTGTTATTTTACATTAAAAAAATTTTTTTTCTATTTTCTACTAGAAGAATGTAATCGATATTGCCACATTACTTTGGACTGTATTATTTCTTAACCAAAAACTAAAAATAAAACTTTAAAAACACAAACTAGAAAATATTTTCTATCATATGATATAGCAATTTTTATAATACTGTTTGCAATTTTGTAATAATTATCTGTTTTGTAATAAAAACAAAAATCTGAGCATTCTGAGAAATAAGGAGATGTTTCTTTAGGAGGCCTATGTCAGTATAAATAACTTTTCTTTGCTACTACTTAAAATTTGCCTATTTTGATCTTTTCTCTACTACTGCTACTTAAATAATTAATAATTAAGATATACCTGTTTTGGATATTGTAAATTTTGTATTTCTGAGATTTATATATACATATTATTCTTTTCGAAGATGCAAGGTGCCATCTTTTCAAGAGCATAGAGTAATATCTTTTATTTTCACATCTTATTTTTTTTATTATATAATTATTTCAATAATTTTTTTAGCTGGTAAACACAAGAAATTCAAATGTCATATAGGAAAAGTTTATTTAAGCTTTTTTGTGAAACTATTTTTATTCGATAAATCTCAAAAGCTGCTGATCGCGCAGTCGCAATCCACCGATGTCGTCGAATCACAGTCAATGGACAAACAAAGATGTGCGTATGTGTATGTGAGAATGTATGAATATGAGAACAACTCCAGGGGAGCGGGTAGTTTGCCGATGAGAATTGCTGAGGAGGACCGCCGACAAGAAGACGTCCGAGGTCAGAGCGCAAGACGTCGACGGAAGTGAACATTCGCACATCGACAACCTTTCTGAAGAAGAATTTCTCCAGGTGTGCCTCACAGAAGCCTCACGAGAATAGAATTTAAAAAAAAAGAAAGCACAAAATCTAAAATTTCTTGACTTAAAAAGTCGAACTCAAAAATTTATGGATTCTAAAGACAGGATCATATAATAAATTTAAAGATCAAAAACTTTGTATTTACGTTGAAACATCGAATTATTTGGAAAATCAAATCATTCGATGTTTTATAAACATCAAAATTCTATTAATGTAAAAATATAAAAAGATATCAAGGAATCTATTAAGTCTGGAAGCTTGAAAACTTAGCTAATTTTAGAACTCGTTGATTTTGTCAATTTTAGAAGTCAAGTTTCTATCAAATTTGATAATCGAGAAATTTGTATATTTCGAAAATTAAGATGTCGATGCAAAGAATGAGCGCTTCTCAAGAAATTCAAAAGATTGGAAAATAATACCCATCGCGTTTTACGTCGAATAGACAATGCGAGGCGTGATCCGACTCTGAGGCGTTCACTATCCTTTTTTACGATCGGAAAAATTCTCAACATCGTGCTACATGTTATTGACGAATACAAGGTGCTAACCTGCTGTCAAAATCTCTCCGAGACAGGAAATGTAATTCAATTCACACGGTGTGTTCTCAGATTAATATGGTGTCCGTGAAAACATTAGGACTCGCAGGCTCCTGTACGTTTTCCATTGGGCTTATTAGTTATACTTTGGGATTTCCTTCTATGCTGAAGTCGCAAGTTAAATCTGTAAGTAGTGACTGATACATCGTCAATCTAGCAAGTTCGTCAATCTTCAAGTTTTTTTATAATAAAATCTTTTCCAATTAATTTTAAATGAGTTTTGCTGTATAGAATATATTTTTTTATTTGAAGATTATTAATAATAATTACTAATGTAATAATTATTATTTTTTAATAATTATTTAATATGCTGATAAAAATGTAATTGTGTAGTGATAAGTTAAATTTTATAATATCCTTTGAATATTATATTGTATTTACGAGAAGAAAGACTTATTTTTGTCAAATTACTGTATTTTACAAATTTTACAGCAAGTTAGATTGAAAAAAGGAAACGAAATACGCGATTTTTGGGAGAAACTTCCGCAGCCGTTGGATTTTAATATTTATGTCTTCAATGTAACAAATCCGAATGATATTGCATCTGGAGCGAAACCGATTGTCCAAGAACTAGGACCCTTTCACTATGAGTAATCTTTTCTTTTATATATAATATATAATATATAATAATATATAATACAATTTTTTAAATTACAATTATCAAGGCAATTTGTTATTTGTTATAAAAATAGCGTTTCGAACATGAAGAATATTGAGCAAATTTTGGTGTAAAGATAATAAAAAGAAAATGATTGATAAATAAATAACACAAATAACAGAAAAAAATCTTATATCTGATTAAGCGGATCTTGGTACTTAATAATATTCATATGCAATATATTTGCAAAATTATTGCATTTGAATATTATTAAGCTTCAAGCTTTGACTGAAAACAGAATATTTCTGTTATTTAAATAATTTATCTCTAGTAGACATAAATTTTATCCTATCATTTATAATATGTGAAAGTAAAATGGAAATTGATAACCGATTTTCAGTTTGTATCGGGACAAGGAAGACATCGTAGATCGAGAGGAAGATGATACCGTTGAGTACAGTTTACGACAACTTTGGTATTTCAATCAGGAGAAGAGCATTATGTCGGAAAATGTGGAAATTTATGCGTTTCATCCTCTCATGATAGCGATAACCTTGATCATTCAAAGAGACAGGCCATCTACGATGGGAATAATTAGTACGTATTTAACGAAAGAATAAAAATGCATACACATAATCAAAGAAATTTCAATATCTGCTTAATATTTAACTCGTAGATATTCAGTTCATTAAAGTGATTTTGTTTTTTGAATATCGTCGATTTTGAAAATCGAGAGATTACTAATTATAGGAACGAAACGGATTTTACTGTTCAAAACTTTGGTTTTTCTTATTGCTATTGTGTTAATTATATTAGCTGCGTATATGTATATGTATATTGCTTCCAATGCATATGTTATATAATATACATATATAAATCTTAAATTATATTCTTTTCTCTCTCTCTCTCTCTTTTTCTTAAAATTTTATACAAGGCAAACTAAATATAATTATTTATTTCTTTAGGCAAAGCGTTTGACAGTATTTTCAAGAAACCTGAGTCAATATTTGTCAAAACCACTGTAAAAGATTTGTTTTTTCACGGTGTACTATTTGATTGCACGGATGTAACAGATTTCGCTGGATCCGCAGTGTGCACCGCTGTACAAGAAAAGGAAGAGATATTAATCCAAGAGGAGGGTTTACGTTTCAGATTTGGTTATCTTGCTAAGGTAATATATCTGTAAATATATCATATGAATTTTTTGTGCTATTGTATTATTATATTATTAATGAAAATGAACAAAAAAATGCCTTTAACCGGTTAAGTGGTAGGCTTTTTAAAACATTCCGTGCCAAAAGTGGTAGGCGTCAATTGTGAACTAAAATATACCAAAATTTGGCCCTGGGGGTTTTTTGGGTCGCTGATTTCATTTCGTATATAAAGAGCCGGACTGATTCGTTCCAGCGCGATATTTACAAATAAATGTAAAACATGTCCGAGTTCAAAAAAATGACAAAACAGTCTAAGAAGAGAACACGATCACCTTCACCTGTATCTTCTGACTGCAATTTGTCTGATTTGGAAGAAAGTGACGATGATTTTTTTGCGGAGGAAATTACAGATAATGATAAAATCTTAAAAAAATTAAAAAAAAAAAAGTGGAGTGTAAAACCCTTCCGCAACCTCCTCGACGGTACACTCTGGGGTCGTGACATGTTCACCAGCTAACTGCGGGGGTAAAACGTAATTGCAATATATATACAAAAATCGCCATTTTCATTCAACGTATTAGTCGCCATGTTGTGTTCGCCATCAAATTTTACAAATTTGACGCCAAAATCGAGTTCAGAAGCCCAAAAAACAATAGTATACCAAATTTCAAGCAAATTCGTTGAATAATATAGAAGTTATTCAAGATGTGCATATATGCTACAATACCACTTTTGGCACGGATTCTTTTTGTGCATATATGCTACAATACCACTTAACCGGTTAAAAGTATTATCTATATTATTCTTACACAAAATCTTTAAGTAATGTTTTTATAAGAATATCTTTATAATGTATTATTTCGATTACATGGAAGGAAATAATATTACCATTGTCAGAAATTATTAAAATAAAATTAAATGAATTTTAAAATATTATTTAGGATATGTATGTACATATAATTAATTTAATTAAATTCGGGATAGATTAAATTAATTCGGATAGGATTATTATATTTTTTATTTTGAAATTTTAAGAATTTCTAAGAATTCAATATATTTTAAATGTTATCTTTTTATTTTAGACAAACGGGAGTCGTTTACCGGAACGCATAAGAGTATACCGTGGAATTAAAAATTACAAAGACACAGGTCGTGTGCTGACGATAGGAAATAGTACGAAGATGAGCCTGTGGTTTGGCAGTCCTTGCAATGATTTTCGTGGCACAGATGGAACCATCTTCCCACCGTTTCTCAGCAAGGAAAAAAAAGTCTGGGTACACTCCTTAGACATTTGTCGGAGTATTGGCGCTTATTACCTCGAACCAGGAAAAGTTCAAGGTATCATAAAAAGTCACGCTAAATGTTCGCTCTTTGCCGATTCTGAGACTTGCTGAGAAACAGAAATTAGTAAAGTGATCACCTTATAGTTAATTTTGCAACTCAGGTTTCAAGACATTACACTACACGGCAGACCTAGGTAATCCGTCCGAGGACGAGGATGTGAGGTGCCTTTGTCAAGAGTCCGAAGGGTGCATGTCTAAGAACATATTCAACGCAGGTCCCTGCAAAAGCATGCCTCTAAGGATAAGTCTACCTCATTTTTATGATTCTGACCCACGATACCTCGAGATGGTTGAGGGTGTAAATCCTATCCCTGTAAGTTTAACAATCGTTTATTTACTCTTTAAAATAGATATAATTTAAAACAATAAAATTAATTTTATTATTTTTTGTCCTACAGTTTTTTACCTATACAAGATAGATTTTCTTTCTTTTATATAATTCCACAATAATTTATGCAAATATGTATAAAGCTAATTTTAAGCAAGAGCTAAAGGAAAAAATATTAAATGATATAAATAAAATTAATTTTATAGAAATGATAAATTTATAATAAGTAAATTTCAAGAAACAATGTGAATTTACCGTGACAATTTCTAATTGTGCAAATTGCTACAAATAATGAAACGATTACGAAGTTTACGAGAATTATAATAAGAGATACTGTTTACAGGAAAAGCACCGGATGACTTTTAATTTTGATCCGTTGACAGGCACTCCAATGAAAGCGTACAAAAAGATTCAATTCAACGTGCTAGTTGGACCCATCCCTAAACTTCGATTGATGAAGTCCTTTCCGGAAGTGCTTTTTCCACTATTTTGGGTAGAGGATGGCCTCGAACTCGGGAATATTCTTATAAAACCGCTGAAAGTTGCCTATTTACAAATTTTAATTGCTAAGTAAATAATAATATTATTTTTTTGTAAGCTTTTCTTTTCTATCGCGTTATTGTTTCGATAATTTAGCTCCATTTTATGAAACGTCTGACGTTGCACACAAAAAATTTTGCAAAAGAATTTTTTTCACGTGGTGTTTTCGCATCGAAACTACTACTGTAATAGATGACTGAGCGATTTTTTTGCAGGATAGTGATGTGGCTCATGATTCTCGGTGGTTTAAGCATGTTTATTGTCTCTATGATAAAGTATTACAAAGAAACTAATGCGGGTAACGTTGCGGTACCGCCGGTACCGAATCTTGTGCCAGGCAAGGAGCAGAACAGGCCTCAGGAAAAGTTAACCATTAGTACCATACAAGGTGAATTGGTACCACCTAGAATTGATTAACAGGGAGTAATAATTATTATTACACTAAAGAAATTGTGAGGTAGCTTTATTAATCGCGCGATGTCGATCGCACTGTGTCGAAAACAATAATTTTTAAGATATCATTACTTATTGTTAGTTAATATTTGGATAATATTTCGGTGACATTTATCTAGTAACAATTCCCATTATTGTGATATACTTACTTAGATAGAAATAATATATATATAATATATATATGTACCCGTGTTTTACTTTACAAACGCACACGGGCCGTAATTCATTAACGTTTTTATCGTGTATTGTAATATTATTTTGAAAAATATTATTGTTGAAAGATATATTAGATATTAGAGTACACTTTATTAATTCTCATATTAGTTATTTAGATTGATTAATTATAACGATGAATTAAGTATAACGATGTCTATGATACGCGCATTAGCAGATCATAAATATATAATATAAAAAACTAGTTATTAGTAATCATCATTTTTCCTGTACGCTTTATTATAAAAGTTGTCTTCACCGACCCAAAATACTTTGTCGATTAAACGATGATTAGATCAATATTAAACCTATTCTTAACGTTATTAACTTCTATTACAATGCTGTAAAAAAGAATTGCTTAAAACATATATAAATCACCTAAAATTCTAAACTGTATCTTATTATTTTATTTTTTATTATTATTACTGAATACAATATAATTGACAGCTTATAAAAAATATAAAATAAAAGAACAATGAGAAACGGAAAAGTTTCCAGATTATATCTTAATTTGTGCGTAATACAAATTTAAAAAAATCAGGTTTTTATGTATGCATGTGGCGGTGTGTGTGTGTGTGTGTGTGTGTGTGTATGTGTGTGTAATTGCTACAATACCTGCATAAATTATATTAGATCCTTTTTATTAACTTTAATATACACTTATTTCGTGTACATAATGTTATAAATTGTATACATAACTTATTTCGTATACATAAGAAATCAGTTAAAGATATAGGTACACGAAACAAACGAATCGGTTAGCGCAGAGTCTAAACGTAAAACTTTCACCCATATGAAAGCCTATGATTTTTCCGAAAAATCGAGAAAACGTTTCTTCTTAATAATATTTAGAAATTTAATTGTTTCAAGAAAGATTGGTAATAGGAATTTTGATTTTTAGAGACTGGAGATCTTCATACTGATCCAAGGAAAAGAGAAAAACAGGGGTGGTGGAGAATCAGAGAGACGCATTAATGAACTTTTATTTTAAATTTAACCCTCCGCTTGCAATCTGGATTTTTTTTAGCACAAAAAAAGTTCCACTCTTAAATTTCTCCGAAATAAAGGAAAACAAAGATATTGAAAAATAATCCTGAATTTTCTTATATTTTTTGAAAGCCTAAAACAGTAAAAAGAACTTGAACTGGAAAAAAAGATTACAGGTGGCGGAAATAAGAATATGATTGTAGATCAAATCCGTCCAATTTGAGTTCCGAATCAGCTAAAACGCAAAGCCATCTACGCAAAAAATTCAATGTCGATAAGATTTTGAAGACTATGAAGTGTTGATAAACGTCATTCAGATGCGTATCAACACTTTACAGTTTCCGAAATCTTGCCCACATAAACAAATTTTTTTTACGTCGATGGCTTTGCATTTTGGCTCCGGAGCTTAAATTGAACAGGCTTGTTGTAGATAGAGGGTTAATTTGACTCAAGACTACATTTCATAAATATCTATCTTCGTCATCCGCAACCTATCGAATCCCAAAGGTATTTTTAATCAGATAATAATTTATAATTACCAATTGAAGAAACTTTTAGTAAAACAATCAACTGTTTATTTCTCTTTTAATATGTTTATTTATCATATTAATATATACGTTATTGAAGAACCCTCGACAAACAAGTGTCATCATGACTTTAGAATCAACCAGCCTAATTTTTTCTTTGACTTTGATCGGAGGTTTATTTTCAGTGTCACGTATTAATTTACGAGTCAGCAAGTAAAATTGCACGTCGAACGCAATGTTGTCGTTGGTGGAGCTTATTCTGCTGGAGATGCCGTACTATTACGCAGGGAAACCGAGAAGACAACAGGGACGAACAAGTAGGAGTACGCCGACGCTGGTCTGGTGCAAGACATTGGTGTCATTATCGCGCGGGCAGTTCGTTCGCGACAAGCCGCGCACGATCAACAGCGACGGCGACGTCGACGAGAACGAGGACGACAAGGGTGGTGCGAAGAGTTCGGTCGAAAGACCGCACAGGTGCGAAGACAGTCGGGAAGTTCGAGGCTTCCATCTTACGACTCTCGATAGCTTAAAATATTTGTACAAAATTTTAAACGCGGATAAAACAACGCGAGCAGTGTATTGCGCGAAAAAAGGAGTGAACAAGGATCCCAAATCCCAACAATAGAAATTTTAACGCGAGCTTATACGAGCGATCCGATTTTTGTAAATCTAAAAGCGAAAAAGGAACGTAAATCACGCAAAGCGATATTTATCTGCAGAACAATCGACAGGAAAAATTGTTCAAGGAATTCTGATACTGATACTCTAAATATACCTCTATATTGATGTTGAAAATCACACAGATTACCGAATACCGAATACTGATATTGATAGTGAATATCGATACGCAGATACACACTGAGAAATAGATTATGCTTAATTCACTTGTTTGGATTACGAAGATAAAAATAGAAAGAGACGAAATCCACTCAAACGCAGAATTTTTATCGAGCACCTCTTGATTTTTATTATATTATTATTTAACGCGCGCGTGAAATTATGCATAAATTAATTACTTTTCAATTAATTTTTCTGTGTTATTAAATAATGCACATTGCAAATTTTAATTCGATATTCTCAATATCTAAAAAAATGTTAATTTAATAATAGAATAAGATAAAACAAGAAATATCTTTTTCCTACACCCTTTGTTTTATATTTTACTACATAAAAAGGATGATTTTGCTGAAATATCTAAAAATTTAACTAAATATATATATATAGACCTAAAAATAATTTTATTTAGATCATCAAACTAATTATATAAAACGTACAAGTTACTATAATGTTAAAACTTCTTGCAGAATTGTCATCAACGTTCTACGTTAAATGTTTTACATAATTATTTTGATATTTCAACAAAATTATTTTTAGATCTATATCCAGTTAAATTAGATACTTCAGTAAAACCGTTCCTTCTATATATGTATTAAGTTTTAGAATACTTTCACACGTATGCTACTTTAATTCATTGTTATATCTTATTGTTATAAATTTTATTAGTATCTTATACATTATATTGTAATATCCCTGGTAATCTAATGTTTACGCAGACGAAATTTTCATGAAAATATGAAAAGTCGATTAAGAGAATTTTATAAAGAAGAGGAATCTTGAATCTTTTTTCATTAAATGCAGCAAAAGGTGTTTCTTTCGAATCAGAGTGTTGCAAGACCGACAAGGACAGACGTTTCTAGGTGTCATTATCAAACGTAATGGTCACCAAGCGACGTGCATATGATGTTGCCGTTCGCGAACTTCGAAGGATGTACGATGTTTTAAAACGTTCGAAGTTGCTGTACGCGTTTCCGTTCGGCAAAACGTTTGACAACGTACTCCGCGTCCTCGAAGAATATAATAAGGTTTCGATCGTTTAATGTCGATCTTCGATCTTCGCGAATCAAGAATAGAGCTCGTGAAAAATTTATGTTTCCTCATAAACGTGATTGCTCCAGAAAAAAATCGAGGCTGAACCTTCGACAATTAGCGTGTTTATGTTTCCTTTATGAACGTGATAATGTCCTGATTTTAAACGGCGCGATAAATCATAATAATTGATATTAATTTCCAACAAGTAGATAATACTCTCTAAAACTTTTAGAATAAATTTCATTTTAAAGAGTGAAATCTCATTCTTAAAGATTAAAAATTAAAATACTCTTTTTCAAGACTGGGTCACTTTTCACTCTTTGTGAAAGTCTAGAGTGAAATCCTCCCAAGAATTTAGACAGTATGTAATCATATAATAGATCCGCAAACTTAAATGCGTATTCTCAATTTTGTGTAATCCGATCGCTTAAGTTTTAATAAATGATCGCGTTTATACGTACGTTCAAAATATCTATTTCGGTCCGATCGTATATTTGTGCCTAAATATCACTTGCCGTTTCTGCAGAGCGTTAAAATGGTGTCTATAAAGAAGCTCGGAATTGGCGGTGGAGTTTCGTTTATCTTCGGTATTCTACTTTGGTGCGGATTCCCAGCATTGATTAAATCGCAAATTAAAAAGGTGAGCAAGTGTAATGTTTTAATAATAAATTAATTATTTTGGTATAAAATATTTTAATCTTGTTATATAAGAAAATGTAAACAAGTGATCACACACTTGTTAAGAAAGTGGCATATTTCTATATCACCTATATTTTTTTACTTGAACAATTTTCTTATATCTTAAATAATTCTAAATTACAGTTTTTCAATAATTTTATTTCTGTGTGATTCGCAAAATTAATTCCAAAGAGATTACACGTATATGCTTTCCAGATTATCTACAAGTTTTCGTTTTCCAGATTTTCACGAAAAAGTTATTTATTAATGTTATATTACATACCATAAATATTCATTCTATATTAATAAATTTTCGTGTAATTAAAAAAAAATTTTTTTGTTGCCATTCTCAGAAATTTTGCATAAGCATCTGATTTCTAAGTAGTTATTATTTTGTAGTTTACATATGTATCGTGAAATGTTTAAGTCATTCCATGAAAGTGTATGTCATGAAATCCTTGAACCCTAGTTATGATTATGTATTGTTACAATATATTGTTTTGGCATCTTATTGCAATATAACTTTCTGTCCAAAAATGGAGGAATTAATATAATTTTCATCCGCTATATACCGTTACATGAAACATAGACGCATTTTCAGAATTAATTTCATGTAACCGGATAAACATTTATTTTATTTTCACAGCTATCATTACCGTAACATTCACTGACATAAATGTTCGCGTTTGTCACCAAAACTATAATTTCTGCAATCCACGTGGATACAGATTCTCTCATTTTTTATTGCAATGTTTTAAATAATATGCAAGTTCGCTGCCAACAATCGAGAGCCTTGTAAACTAATAAGATTTAACGTATACGTGTAGGCGGTTCAATTGAAACCAGGAACTGAGATACGCGATATGTGGTCGGTTGTTCCGTTTCCACTGGATTTTAAAGTTTATATGTTCAATATAACCAATCCTGATGAAATTAAGGAGGGTAAAAAGCCGAGAGTGCAAGAAGTAGGGCCGTTCTTCTACGAGTAAGTCGTTTTTAATCTAATACTCTCAATATATACGAAAATTTATGATTTAATATTTAAAATCTAGTAACATATTTTAAATCTAATACTGTCACAGAATTTATGCAGTTGATATCAGCATCTAAAACCAATTTTGTTTCTATTTTTTGCTATTAACAATTAAATTCTATTCTCGACTGCTCACATTTTTTATTATAGGTGCATAGAAAGAACAATTTTGTTAAAGTATATCTAAAAATTTAACTAGATACAGATCTGAAAATAATTTTGTTAGACTAAGTGTCAACTAAGAAGGTCGACTAAGTGTTGTACATAATTATTTTGTTACTTTAATAAAATCATTTTCAGATCTGTATCTAGCTGAATTTTTAGATATTTCAGCAAAATTATTTTTTCCACGTGTAGCCAATTTTATTTTAATCAGCCTGAACTTTTTTTACTTAATTTACATTAATTTACGTTACTTAATTTACATCAAGACTCTGCTTTCGTAAACTTGTTCATTCTCAAATCGTTTCAAACATTCAAATATCAATTTCAGCGAATACAAGGTGAAGTTTGACCTCGTCGATCGAGAGGATGAGGACTCCGTCGAGTACAGCATGAAGACAACATGGTTCTTCAACCCCAAGAAGAGCAACGGATTGACGGGCGAAGAGATAATGGTATTCCCTCATCTCATGATTCTGGGCATGGTGGGAGCCACCCTTCTGGACAAACCCGCCGCGATCGGTGTCGTTGGTATGTAACATGTGATCATTTATCAGTATTAAATATCATTTTCTTTCAATGTCGCGTATCGATTGCAGTAGCGAATCGGCTGCATCGCACAGGGTCGACGCGGACTATAATAATAAATGTGTGCCGGAAGGTTTAAAGTGGAACGTGAGATACGTTTTCCTATAGTGTACGTACACCTTGGGCGAAGGTGCGAATTATTTATGAGGTTTCCATTGCCTCGATCGCCATTTGTAACACGTGCATTGCCTCGTGCGATGATTAAACTTAATTAAGAAAAATAGCGAGCAATTTACAAAAACGTCATTATATTAGCCTTAAAATATATGTCCATATTCACTCTTGTTAAAATTTAATACCGATTGAATAACGTAGGCAAAGCTGTCGATAGCATCTTTCACAAACCGGACTCGATATTCGTGACAGCGAAGGCAAAGGATATACTTTTTGACGGACTGCCTGTCGATTGTGATGTGAAAGACTTTGCCGGATCGGCGGTGTGCAATATATTGAAGACGGAAGCGAAAGATCTGATACCGGACGGTGAAAATCGCTACAAGTTCTCCCTCTTCGGCGGGGTAAATACACTGAAAAGAAATTTACTAAATCTTGATACATATTTCCTTGATAGCACTAATTGTAAGTAAACATTTACTTACAGTATATAAATATTTCCTTAATAAAAAAAATAATAGTTAAATCAAATTAATGATTTTTGAATCAAATAAAGATACATATATTTATATTTAGTAAATATTTATTTAGAATTATTCAAACAAATCTTTATTACAATTTAGTGTTTCCTCAGTGTGGTTTCAAAGAAAATGATAAATTATTTAATATAAAGATTGTATATGCATGTGTTGAAGTACTGATTATGCTTGAAGATAATAACGCTTTAATAAATAAAGGATACTTATACATTTACACATACACAATTATTTAAATACATAAAACTGTTTAGAATTTTCTAAATATCGTTGAATGATTTAAATGACTATTGTGTGTGTGTGTGTGTATGTGTTTCTGAAATTATATATTTTTGTATTATATATATATTTAGATATATACATAAATGTGAAGATTATTTTAACGTAACTCTATAACATCCCTGATTTCTTGGAGATATAATGATAAGTAGATAAGGTAGCCTAATTGCATGTTAAAAAAAACGAGTCACGCATGGAGATAATAGTAAATTATTATGTTGCGTCTGGCAATCTCACTGGATGTTACATACTTGCGAAAAGAGTGCATGCTTAAAAAGTATGCAAAAATTATAAAAATTTATTACATTAGTTTTTTAATAAAAGTACAATTTATTATTTCACGGAAAATTTAACGTTTATAGAAAAACGGTACCGGCGTACAGGAACGTATGAAAGTTCTGCGTGGTGTTAGAAATTACAAAGAGGTCGGTCGTGTCTTGGAATTCAATGGTAAGCCCGCATTAGATATCTGGCCAGAGGATCATTGCAACGCTTTCAACGGTACTGATTCGACAATTTTCGCACCTTTATTCGGGCCGGATGACGACGTCGTCTCATTTGGCTATGAGATCTGTCGAAGTCTTAGTGCGCATTTCGAGCGCCATACCAAAGTCAAAGGCATGTATTTAAAAATTTTTTAACATAAAATTTAAATTTTACAAGAAGCGAAATTAGAATTGAGGCTTTAATGTCTCGAAATGCAAAAGCAAAAACATTTGTAGAATTATACATATTTTGTTACTGAGAAATGATGTAACGTTTTATGTATCTTTTGATAAAACTTATAATTATAATTATATATATATATAATTTTTTGAAATTTCGGAATACAATAATGTGACACAACTAATATATATGTATGTTTACTGTTACTTATTACTTTAGCTTCATTTTTAATCACAATCTTGAATTTGCAGGCGTCAAGACTCTCCGTTACACTGCGAATTTAGGAGATATGAGCACGAATCCTATGGAAAAGTGCTTCTGCCCGACACCGGAGACTTGTCTGACGAGAAATTTCTACGATATGACGAAATGTTTAGGCGTCCCTATTATTGGATCTCTACCGCATTTTTACGATACTGATGGAAAATATTTGAAGATGGTGGATGGCTTGCACCCGAATCAGGTAATCGACAAAGAAACACTATATTGCGATAATCATGATAGTTATAAAGAAATAATTTGATAAAATAACTACGAATTAAATATGAAAGATTTGTAATTTTGAATAAACGGTATTCATCCATAGGATGAGCATGAAATCGACATGGATTTCGAGCCGATGACGGCTACGCCAATAAGCGCGCATAAGCGGTTGCAGTTCAATATGTTCATACAACCGATACCAAAGTTGAAATTGATGAAGAATTTTCCAGAAGCGTTGCTGCCTCTCTTCTGGGTAGAGGAAGGGATTCTTCTCGGCGACGAGTTCGTTAACAAAGTGAAGGTGGTATTTAAAGTGATGGCGGTCGTCAAGTGAGTGTTGCGATTTGCGGCAATGTTTTTTAAATAATTATATTTGATCAATATAATATTAGTAATAATAACTATACACTGAACCAAAACTGTATGTAAATACAATAAAATATTCATTGAATTATGAAAAAATAATGAAAATTGGTCCAATAAATTCTCATAATGATTTAGATTATAAAACTATTACTAGAATTCATTGCAAGAATGAATATATAGTTGTATAAATGAATCCAGTTATTGTATCAATGAATTAACTACATTAACTCGGACATTGATTAATTGTCATTCATTGGACCAAAAATGAACAAAATTTTTTTCGGTGTATATGGTTCTATCAACAAAAATATGTATGGCAATCGAAAATGACTATGATTATACATATAGTTATTGTTACTATAAAAATTATAAAAATTACTATGATAATTATGTGATAAGAATATAAGGTGTTTTATTGCGCAAAATGACGACTGAATATATTTGGAGCTAATTTCTGATGAGTAGTAAATTTCTAATAACTGATTTATAAAATTTAATAAGTTTCTGATTGGTCATTCGACTGCGCATGAACGGGAATGAAACATCTAGTATTTTTACATCATAATTACTATGATTTAACTATAATGTAAAGTCTGGGGTAAAGTATAATGTAAAGTTTGGGGCAACCGTATAAATACCGAAAATTTTTTTCTTAGTGTATATAATTTAATTACACATGCCCTGCAATCAATTTAATATCGTTCTTGTAATTATTTCTTTCTTTGGCTTTTCTTGGATCACTGACGTGATGAACCATCTATAAACTGATTATTTGATACTATGATTTGCAGTTTTCTGAAGTGGCTGCTAGTATTTGGAGGGATAGGCATGGGCGGCGCGGCCGGATTTTTCTACTACAAAAATCGCGATAGCGGCAAATTAGATATTACAAAAGTTACTCCGAAGACCAGCGGGGACAACAAGAATGAGAAGAGCTGGCCACCTGGAATGAACATCAGCACGATACAAGCGGCGTCGGTACCGTCCAGCCTCGACAGAAATTGAACGCTATTAGCGGAAGGCTAATATGAATATTAACATCGCGAAAGTCCATCTTTCTTTAGTCCAACATATCTTTCTCAAACTAAAATCATAATGTATATAATTGAGCAGGTTTTTTCAAATACGATGAAAGACAAAAGTGTTTTGAAAAGTATAAGATAACAAACTATCCTTTTTTTTATGAAAGTAAAATAAGGATTTAATGTGGCGATATTAAGTAACTGAAGGACTAAAAGGGCTAAAGTTAGCATGACTAATATGTATAATAAACTATCATGGCAATAATGTTATTGTCATGCATATCTGGAGCTGACATTTCAGCCCAGATTTACCAAAGATAACATGACAGATAAATGCGATTTTTTTTTTTTTTTCTTTAAAAATAATCAAATTCGAGAATACATAGATAAGGATGTAGTTAAGATTTAATGCGTCATGTGAAACATAATTGAAGTTAATTATTTAACTACCTCGTTGTAAGAATGTTATAAAGCTCTCATTTTGTAATGCACTTGTAATAATGTACACTGTACAGTATGAATCAGCAGTTCTTAATCTTCGCTTCTCGGTTTATGAATTAATTATGTAAATATATTCGAGGATTTTTCAAACTTTATGAGAATTTTAAAACGCATTTTATACTGTAGATGAGCTTTGGTTTTATAATATAGCGATTCGGCACTCAAAGATATAGAAAGGTTAAGGACCGCTGACAATAGACATATATAATTAGTCATTCTTAAGGAACCGTTTAGATTTAGAGATTTTGATTATCTTCTAATAGATTAAATACAAAAATACAACAACTACCATCATCTGACTAGATACAAAGCGAGTAAAAATGGCGAATACCATTAAAGAAATAATATATTTATCTTATTTTGTCGAGAGAGAGAGAGAGAGAGAGAAAGAAATAAATAAAATTATTTTTAAAATACCTAAAACTAAAAGACTAGAAATTTACACGTTTATTTTAACAAATAAATAAACAATTTTCACTACTTAAGTGCCATTAATTTTCGAAGACGATATGCTCTTATGAAAAGGAAAACATCGATTAGCGTCAACAAAAATTCTCAAATCAACAAATGCATTAAATAACAGATATAAATTACACATTATTAATATATTTATCATTTTCTTCTAATTATTTATATTCAGACGTTAAGCTGAGAGTGTCAGACCCTCAGCTGAGAGTGTCAGACCCTCCTTCCGCTTATTTTCTGTTCATCTTTTACACAGCAACACGTATCTATATGCGCTCCTGTACTCGGAGCTCATCACAACATAGATAACAGGATTGATGCAGGTTGTCAGATAGATGAGTATGTAGCCGGCGATATTGAGGCCCTGCCAATCCTGAAAGACCGCCCCTTGGAATAGCTTCGTGACGGTGATCGGCAGGTAGCACACTAGAAACGACACGAATATCACGAGGATCATCTGCAACAGCTTCCGGTCCTTGACGGACATCCTGGGCGCAGCGTACTCGACACCATTACGCATTCTGCCAACACTCATGAACTTCGACTGCCTGCGAAACGCCTTTCTCGCATGAGACTCGCTAATTTCTTCGAGTGGTCTTGAATCCAATCGATCCGAGCGTTCGCCACCGGCGATCCTCTGCAGCGAGGACTCCATCATGAAGGATGCTCGACCGGACAACCTCCCCAGCCGACCGCAAGAGTTTCCCGACGATTTCCGTTGCAGCTCACACTGATTCTGATTGAAAAACAGTCTCGTTTCTGTGAAGTCCGATTTCTCGATTGCACGTTCGTCCACGATATATGGTATATCTTCCGATAGGCTGATTTCGGAAGCATCATAACCGTTGTTGGACTTAGCAATATTCGTGATTTGATCATCTGTATTTATTGTACCATTCGTTTTTTGTTCATGGATCAGCTGCTTGGACGATGATGAGTCTTCATTGGCGGATATGGATGGTAGTTCGAGATTCCTTCCTTCGTTTGGATTAAGAAGAACCGCTTGCATCGATGAGAAAGGAACGCAGAGAACAGAAAGCTCTTGTTCTTGATTTTTCGTAGTAGACGGTTGCTGTAAAGATGATTAAAACAATAAACTAGGATTTAATCGGTGATTTAAAAGAATGTAATTAAACTTTGATAAATTAAAAAGTTCATTTTAGCAAAATTTTTCTAATATTTTTTAGCTATTTTATTAATTTTATAATTTTTTAGCTACCTTTTAATTTTCTTTTATAATATACTCCAATTATTAATATTTTATTTATTTTTATTTATTTAATTTAAAGTATGCAAATTCAAAAGTCTGTCATCAAGCATATAACTTTTTTCAACAAAACAGAGAGGTAAAAGTAATCGATCTTCTTTTTTATTTTTTTAAATGTATTTTTTGCGATTTTTACTTTTCCTTGAGTTAAATCTTTTTCCTTTTCCTTTGTTACAGAAATAAATAGATCTTACGTCATGGCTAGTTTCCGTCGGTTCTATGTTGAAGATCTTCACTCTGCTTCTGCTCTTCGAAGCAGTTTCGCGAACGATGTAGAAAATCCTAGCATAGCAAACGATAATAGCGAGACAGGGTATTAAAAATGCGAGAACGAAAAGAAACTCTTTTGGACTCCGCCCGTTTATGTCCGGCAGAATCGTACAGGATCCGATAGCAGGATCCAATCCAAAACGTCCGAATCGCTCGAACCACGTGACGACCAGCAAGCCAAAAGCAATAATCCATATCGCCAAAACCATCGGTATTAAGAACTTCGTTTTATACAACCTTTGAATAACATTTAATAATTAATTTGTAATAGAGAAGTAAGAAAATAATTTCTTATATAAAAATTTAAAAATTAAAACAGAAAATGTTTTTAAATCAAGGTTCGGTTTTGGAGAAAACTTGACCTTTTGAAGATTGAGAAATTCATATATACATTTTATTTTTAAATTATTACTTTAATAATTTTACTTATTTATTAGCTTTTACAGGCTCAATAATCATTTAGTATATTATTTGATTTATTAATAAAAAATAGTTGTGAAAAATAAAATATTTGGAATATTGGAATGAACTACTTATGTAGAATAGAGACTAGGATGACCGATCATGACGTAGCGATTGATTGTGATCGCCAGAACGCTGAAGAGGCTGACTGCAACGAGGCCGTACCTCAAGAGCGGAAACAGCCGACATAGAAGTGATCCGTGCAGCCACGATCTATGCCAGAATGTTGAAGTTGCGAGTGGTAGATTGAAACAGCAAAACATCAAATCTGATATCGAGAGATTCATAATGAAGACTGCGGTAGCGTTCTTTAGCTGTAACAAAATTAATTGTAAAAAATTGTAAAAACTTTATATTATATAAATACAAAATTAATATTAAAAAAAAATTTTAATTACAAAAATATTTCCTTAAAAAATATCTTTATTATGTTATTGGTCGGAATTGCTTTTTAGGATTTATCTGAACATTTATAAATCATTTTGTATTTAATTATAATATTTTATTGTTGTGCGTGATTAGAAGAAATATTTAATAATATATGTATAATAACAAAGAAATCGTTGACGTGAATATTAATTCGCGAAATTATCGAATAAGCTCTCCCGAATTTCTCGAAGTAAACACGATAAAATTGATGGAGACTTCTCGATTCGGTTCTAGTTGATTATATCGGAATGGAGTACGTGAACCTTCGTGAAAACACATGATTGTATATGCGGACGGTTCCACGTAATCGATTCCAAACTTAACTCATTGATGATTGACTTTGATGAGAAACTTAGCCATAGAATCGTGCCGACGACCTTCTGTTTAACTTCATCGTCGATAATCGATGCTTTTTAATAACAAACATGTTAGAAATAAAATACGTTCTACTATGCAATAAAACAATTGTTTCGTATTTTGAAATCTCTAAAAATTTGTGCTCTTTTTTAAAATGAAATAAGTATATTCGAGCGTAAAAAAGAGAGAGAAAGTGAAAATGGCAATAAAAAAATTAATATGTAAGATTAATATGTAAAATTAATATGTAATTTTAGATTAATAGAATATAAAAATAAAATAATACAGAGTCCTTTTATAAAATAAAACTATTAGAATATTAGACCGAGAAACATTCTGTATACTATACAGTGTATAGTTTAACGTCATTGCAGCTTGGATTAACACTTTGTAAGACTAAAGAGATATAATGACTCGAGGTAAACCACTCGGGCAGTTTTTAAAATTTCTGCGTGCAAGTAATGCCGGAAACTTGAGTAACCTTACATAATACGAATTCATTATACTAAAGCCTTTTGAGAACAAGTCAGGAAAATTGTTACAATAAGAAGCGCAAAACAATTTACAAATAAAAATGCGTTATTTGTACATTAAGCATTTCAGAAAATATTTTCTTTTAGAGAGGAATTTAATTGTAGAAACATTAGTACGTTGGCAGATTATTATTTTTCCAAATTGCCTTTCTTTTACGAATCATCATTGTTTCTTGCAACATCAACGTCTAAATTGTAAAATTCATATCGACAAATTTACTAATCGATCAATTTTCAGCTTGAGTTGCGTTTAGAAGCTATTCTCTATTTGCATTTTCTTTTTGTTATTATCATATCATTTTTTATACAAAGTTACATAGGATTACAGTTACAGTTTACCTTTTTGGTGCGAAATAATGCTATCACCGTAATGAGATTTCCCGGA